CACATATTTTAATATAACTATTAGATTTGCTAATGTTAATCTTCCTAAAAAGGTATTTAATCACAATATTTGTCCAAGTATATTATTTGGATATTAGAAATAAAATATAATTTTACTATTCCAATATATGAAATAAACGTTTCTACAATATTAACACAATGTTGAATTTTTTTCGTTACAAATAATTGTTTGAAAATTCGATTCAATAATTTGATATTGTTAAAAAATTTCCAATTACTGTCTACAAATACTTCATCTATTGTCACTTCAAATTCCTAATCGATAGTGTGGCGATATTTAAACGACGTCATGATGTAAAATCAAGGAGAAGGTTAAACAGTCTGTCGAGGTTAATTAAATACCTGTTCTCACGTACAATTAATTAAACTGCAACATTATCAGTATTTTTAATTGTCAATTTTAAATTTAAGTGTATTGGTATCAAGCAAAAACGAGGTAACTGGATAGATAAAAATAGATTGGCTGTATAAGGACATACATACTGAAACATATTTATATAACACAGTCTCAAAGATAAAACGGAATGTGTCGCATGCATTAAATTACAGGAATGTTAATTACGTAAAGCTGTAAACACTTTTATATCCGTTGATTGTACTAAGTTGATGTATTCAGGATTTTGATGCGAAAATATAATACAGGCGCCATCACTTATTTAAATAACAAATCGCGAAAACGTTTTTCTCGACTGTTAACACAGTTTTTTTCCTATTCGTTCTCGAAGTCCTTGTATCATGGAAATGTACAAGGATTAGATAATTTGGAAAAAACAACAGCACCTAACCATTAAAATAACATTTAATCGTTGAACTACGTTCGACTTAAAATTTAAGGAATAAATTATTCCTTATTTATTTTATCTCAAAAAAAAGTAAGTTCTTTAAAAATTTCCAACTGTAAACGCTCATATATTATCTTAATAATTTCCTTTTACTAGATCTACCTCGTCAACATTCTAATGGGTTATTGAAAAGGTCGACGCGTCATCGACGGTACGAAAATTACTGGAATATTTTCTGCAAATACAATTGAGAATGTAAATCTTTGCAATGATTACGTAACAGTCATGCGCGGACGCAAATCTTCGATCTTTTGAAGTCCTTTGGAAAATATTTTACGTAAATATCGAACTACTTATTTTTAGTGCAAAGAAATTCAACATATCTGCATAAGAGTTGCAAATGAAGTTGACAATAATCACTTGAAAATAATCTTGCAGAATATGATGTTCTATGAAATAGAAAAAGTATTACTTATTATAATTACATTAAATATAATACTATCAAATTGATTTAATAGTTTAAAATAAATTGCAGTCGTTTAACTTTATTTCATTTACTTGCAATACGATCGATACTAATGCCCTTATATCTTTACTATTATCAAGGCTACCGTGACGTCAATGATGCAGTCTTCAATACGAAGAACCGACTTGATCGATTTCGCTCATTCTTATTGTTCGATTTAACTTCAATTGACTTAACACCCTTTCACCTATATCTGTGCTCGTGTCAAGAATACTCTGTGCTAGTGACATGATTTGCATGCTCAGTTTGTTATATAGGGGATGGGCAACAATATTTGAAGACCCTCCATTTAGCCCGGTTACGTAATTGAATTCGTCGAGATTATTGCTTCAAAGAGAACTTCAACAGACCGTTTGTTTCTGAGAACCGGAAACGGAATGTTATTATTCCGCGTTTAGTTTCAAATTTATTTATAGAAAGTGCCCATAAACCATCATGATTCAAATACTCAAAGAAAAGCGAGCAATTTTTTATAAGTCAACTTGTAAAGTAAATATTTGTCTCACTAATGCACTTGAATAAATGTTTTCTTCTTGAAGTCTTTCGTATAATAATTTCGTGGTTGTTTAACTTATTGTTACGTGGTTGCTTCTTATTGAATATTTGTATAGATAAAATTTTGCAAGTCATTGTCAGACAAGATTATAAGTAACAATGAAGTATATATCAACTAGTATTGATTGTGGTAATGATATTATTTATTGTACTGGACTGCTATGTTAAAATCGATTTAATATGGAGTTTGCGCGTTGGCGTAGTCTGTTGTTTTGTACCCCCGTGTAAATGAACACTGCGCAGGACTGAGATGCCAGAGTGAAAGCAGTGGAAAAGTACTGGAATACCGGGAGGGTGCCACGAGCTATTATATGGCATTACTAGGGGTTTTGTAGGGTACCGGTAGAAGTGCTAGGGATTTGTTGTGGATACAGGAGATTCTAGAACAGTCTTTATCCTGAATTCTTTTGGGGCGAATGCAACAGGATACCTGAGACTTTGAATAGCCCTTAGAAAGCTAGAATTTTACTTTCTAGAGATTTTTATACAAAATAAAGAGGAACTGAATTTGATTTTTAAAAGTTGTTTAATCTACCTAGAGAACTGTTTCTGTTCTTACAGTGGACTCTTTGGGTTCTTACTTTATTCGATTAGATAAATGTAAAAAATAGTAAGGAAGTAACGCTTCTATTATTTACTGATAATATTTATATAAGATTAAAATTTAGAGAAATATATACACGTTATAAAAATTCTTTGACAATCTCCTATCAGATTGGTAGATATTTCAGAATAAATCGATAATACACCGGTTTACAATTAAATGCTGTAGATTTCTTGATGTATCTGATACTTATATACGTAATATTATTATGCAGCGAGACATATTTTTTTAATTAAAAATATTGGTTAAAAATGAACATTGATATAATTCATGATTCTACTAAGAAATGAAATATGTAGTTAAATCCAAATATCCAGTGTGTTGTATATTTTGGTTGATATATAATTTTCAAAAATGAAATAATATAAAAATGCTTTGAAAGTACTTCGATTAATGAAACGATTCTCAGTTTTAATTGAAAATAACAATTATAACAACAATGTAGTTATTTCGCTTTTTAAATGCATATACCTTTAAACATTAGTAAATAAAGTACTGTAAAGGCTCAGTATAGCCATTTATAAAGCCATTTTAAAAACATCAGCGTTTTATGTAGCACTTACACCTTCGTAACAAAGATAAATAGGAATAATTATTAATTATTTGCTACTACAATCCTTGCGTTACAATATTATCTACTTATTTACGTTATTGAATATTTTTATTCGACGTCAGTTGTCTTACGAATTACAATCATTTTCAAGTCATTTTAAATCTTCGGTCACCAGTAACCACCATAGCAGTCAACGTATTAACCTAAATACGAAATGACCCCTTGCCCTATGATTTATTTTTCAATTGTGGTCAATACAACTACTTCATCGTTTATTATTTATTAGGAAAAGAAAAATGTTGCTTATTCTGTCTACGTTTACTCCAAAGATTAAAAATTGATAATAGAAAAGTAATATTTAATATATATTTTACAAAAATATATTTCTGAAATTCAGTTTAATATTTTCATCACGAGTCTGAGACGCCATTGTATGTCTAGTTTATAATATCTTATAAAAAAAACATCTAAAAAACACTAAAGTTTTTAATTTATGGTGACGCAAACAAGTGTTCAATGTTGTGGCATCCCTGACTGGTAAACAGAAAACACGCGACGAATCGATCGACGTTAACCTGGAACGCTGTTCGGTAGGCAAGCGTGCAGAGGGGGCTGCGAGGCAAGAGGTCTGGACGAGCACGTGCTCACCGAGTGATAGAACGTCGTTTTTTCCTCGGCCGAATAAGGTGACCCTACACTGATAGTGGGGCCCCGTGTGCGTGCGCGCGAGCGAGCGAGCAACGCGCAAAATCCAAAGAATTGCTGGCGCTACTACAGTGCGAGAGGGACGAAGAATTCACGCTTTGACTGGAAACAGAATGGAAACGAGAAAGAGAGGAAAAGGAGGCCGTCGCTCAAAAAAAGAGCAAACGTAATGCGCGTCGCTGGTAGTGGGGAGTCCCCGAGTATGAGAACGAGCATACTTTGTATGCGCTGTGGAAGCGAGACAGGTATATACCACTCTGACGGTCAGAATACTTGACCATCCCACTCCGAGCGCCCAATGTTATGAGTCAGGAGCGATTTGAGTGGGGAGGACAACTATTATGACTGTGGCGGTTTACATATAGTCGCAAAAGCAAGTGAGATAGCATGTTTTAAAGTATCAACATTTTTACAAAAGCTGAACGAAGACAAACGTTTGAATGGAAAGAAGAGGAGTTGGCATAGATATGATCTATTGGAGAAAGAAATACATATTTGATGTACATCAATGACTGTTGGTAAAGAAAGAGAAGAATACAACTGATTTTTATGCATGCATGAGTACATGCATGGACCACGTAAGCCAAAGATGATATGAAAAGATTCGAGAACCGAACAAGAAAATTCAAACACACATACGTGTGAAATATATCGTGGAAAAGATAAAAAGATACGTGAGCGGTAAAGACGAAGGAAGAGGATAGCTAGAGTTGGTAAAACTGCGTCCACACTTGGGACACAATAAGGGTGCAATGTTAAGCGCAACCTATAATGAGTAATATTGCACCGTATGTCACTATATTCTGTAATTTTTAATGGAAGTAAAGTTTGAAGATCAAGAAGAAAATTTGAACTGCTACATGTGGGTTTTCAAAGAAAAATCTATTAAAATGCAATCTATCAAACATCATAGATATGCAGTCAAACTTTTTAATGAATTCTGGTCCTGAAAGAAGTATAAGATTTATTCTAAAAATGACTAGATGGGTTCATTGACAGACAATGGATTCTATCTGGGTACAATGACCTATCTTCGGAATTATAGTTGAATGTTTACAACGAACAAGTGAAAAACTATTTGTACATATGAGTAGCTTTAAAGGCAAAGAAACTCAATTGATGAAACTACTTTCCAGTGTGTACACAGCATAATGCATATTGTTCAGTTTTAAACATTGAAGGGAAAAAATACAGTATGTACTTATTATCAGAGCTAAAATTTGAACTTGGTAGAAAGAAATAAAATTAATTCAATTACATATGCGTGCGGGCACAGAATACAAAAGGCTCGAGGAGAATAAAACGATGTCCGTTTCAAAGGAAAAACACAGACCAAAGTATCAGAATTTTGAGTAAGAGAGGGAGACGCGTGGAGCAAATAGAAAACAAAGATAGAGCGTTCGGTGAGCTTGTGGTAGTCTTCTCGGGCGTGCGAGTGAAAGAGGGCGATAGAAGAAAAGAGACACGCAAGAGAGAGAGTTCAGCAGTCCATGGCACAGTGCTTGCATTCAGTCGTTTCTGCTGCTTTGAACGCGCTCTCCCGGTTTGTCCGAGCAGCCAGTTTTCCCAACATCGGTTTGCCCGTGAACACCTTTTCTCGCGTACGTGTTGCTAGAGGTGATCTCGTGACAATTCCAAGTTCCCGTATACACCACAAGCTAATAAACAAACAATTTTCCGGGTCTACTGAACTTTTTTAACTGAAAGCCGGTCCGTTATAGACGAGTTTTAGCTTCTCGAACAATCTACGGATAGCCGTGTTCATTTCAAGACCGATTGAGATCCGCTTTGGATGAGCCCGTAAACACGGAGTATCGTTTCACTGCGAACGCAGCTGTTTCGCCTCTACGTGTGGAGAATGTTCCTTGTAGCACCGGTCGACAACAATCGCTGGGCTTATACGATGCACGGACTGGAAAAGCCTATGGATCACGTGTCCGGTAATCCTTAGTTATTCATTTTGTCAATATTAAATGTATATACTCTGACTTCGAGCATTTAATATCCAGACATACGTATAAAATTCTGCTAAATTGATTTAACTATGGAGATACCAACAAAGTTTTGAGAAACAGTATGAGATGTAATAAAAGTGAATTCATAAAAATTACCATTTTTCCATCGTTTCACTACAATGCACACTTTCGTATCTTCAAAATTGCAAAGCAAATGAGGTGAGAAACCAGGCACATCCGGGGAGTATTAATGTATACAGCTACAGCCATGAAATAGAGAATTATTCCTGATGGCAATTGAGTCATTTTACCTACTTAAGTACATCCGATAAGTTCGTAATGTGTTCGCAAATCCATTCAACTGACAGTTGAAAGTAAGGGGAAAGTAAAGTGTAATTCATAGTACCGTAGCTAAATGAGCTGATCGAAAGGTAATGAAATTCATCCTATCAATCTACCTGCAATAATTTCCGTTTTCATAAGGAATGATAATGTTTATAAAATCCGTAAAATTGTAATATTTATCGAAATTTGAATCTATAATTCACTGTGATACTCCTGAAAACTCGCCTTAAGGATGCCGTGGTTCGCCACAGCCATATTAGAATAATCAAAATTTACTGCATGTATCGTGAGAGAAAAATTTAACTGCTTAAATTAATCAATAATTTTACAATGAAAATGTATTAAACCATTTTATTAAAAAAAAGGTAAGCCAAGATTAGTAAAAATAATGTTGTAGTACTCTTCTGGGTTCAGTTTAGTTTAATTTCATTTCATATAAAAATTATAAAGTTTCATTATACATACATATTAAATACATGTCTACTGTCTATACACCGGTTTGTTTAGGTAAGTTGCGTGAGCAAGTGAAGTAAAATATTTTCGACGTGAAGACGTTGTTAAACTGTGAACTGTACAGTAGGGTTTCCCCTTTTACTTCAAAGCTGTACCCTAGCTCCATGTTTATGAATATCATCTATATTTAGTTTAGCAGTCCAATTGCATATAAGGTGTCCAAAACTTTCAAGTCGGGACGCCTAACACGTTCGCTACCAGCGTTACATATTTATGACGATCGGTATTTCATATTTTGTGCAAAGAACAGTAAATTATATTTACATTTGTTTTTATATAATATTGTAACGCACGGTATAATGTGCAGGAAATCGCGAAGATTTCTTGTTTTGGATGTTATTTGTACTTTGTGAAGACGATATATTTTATTTAAAAAAATATTGCAACCATCTAGTCTGTTACTGAAAGAAATGCTGGTAGCGAATGGGTTAATCCATTCGCATCATGTTTAAATAACCATGCCATTGTCAGTGGAATCTGATTTAAATACCTTGTAGTGTTGTAGTGCAGTTAGCAGCTTCATACAATTTTTAAACAATCATGTAAAATCAACTGTAAACCTTTTTATCCGATTATATGATTTATATAGTAAAAAAACTTAATGGGAGTACAGCTCCGTCATATGATGCGATTGGGTTAATAAATCTCCCGCCTTTTATTTTGAAATTCTATGAAATTTCCATAAAATCGAGATTTATTTGTTCTACGAATGATATGATAGCATTTTGTAATTAAATGAATATCATTTTTTCATATTTAAATTCAATAATCTCACTTTTAGATTGCACGGAATGATAAATCAATACTTTATCAGGAACTAACGTAGAAATTCGGCGAAATTCGAAGATTAACAGATGTTAGATAGGAAATATACTGGATGACAATAAGCGAGTAATATTGATGATTCATGTCTGGAATGTTATCCAGAACGGTTCTTCAAATGAATCGCACGTAATCAGCATTGCCGATTAAAACAATTGATAATTGTGTTCCCTCATTACAATAAAAGTATAAAAATAGTAGAATCTCTATTCTCATACCAGATGAGAATAGAAGAATTTTATATTCTCATACCAAAGAGTGGAAGAATTACAAAAACAAAATATTCATCTTCTAAGCGAATGTTTTGATGTCTTTTGTTTACTCATACAGGGAATTCACATATTTATTACATATCGATATTTTTTACGCAAAAATTGATTAATTGTCTCATATCATATTGCTTAATATCAGTAACATACTCGAAGTATGTACTGTCGATAAGTATCTGAGTCGAAGCACATCACGTTGTAAATACAAATTGTTTATGCGAACCATACACGTGCCTATATTCTACCAGAAAATTGGTCTGTTTGCAGGATTCAGTAACCTTAAAAGATCGTGACTTGTTTTCGAAGCGCCGGGAATATGTAAAATAATGACTGCACAAGGTACATGTGCAAATAACACGATACATAATTCAAGATTCGTCTGCGACGTTATGCTCCTGTACTATTCCAGTGCAATTATATAATTTCGAATGTGTTTTTTAAATTTTTAACTTGTTATTCCAACTCGCCATCGTTTGTTATTGAAGTCCCTATTTTTACGAGCATATTGTCTAGCACAGTTGTCGGACGGAACTTCACTTCAAAGTAAAATGTTTACCTGACAACGCGTTAACGCTTTTTCATCTGAAAGTAATTTTTAACTTGCAGTTTATTTGAACCCACGTGATTTTATACACAAAGCATAGGATGCCATTTTTCCATTTGGGACTTCGTTTTTGAGAAAACCGAATTTGCTTCGACTGAAAACAAGGGTTGAAACAAAAATATTTTATTCTGTATTTTTCACTTAGTTTCTGTGTAAATTAATTTTCGATAGCATTAATGATCAATTAAATCAACCACATATAAACAAAAAATTTCAGATTATTAGACTTTGAATGAACAAACTTTACTGTACATTTTCGAATTATTCTTTCTTATAGAATCACTTAAAACATTACCTACAAATGTTGTACAGTTACGAGAAAGACAAAATATAATGGCAACATTTTTTTCAGGGATGACAGCAGGAAATTCGGTTATCGATTTGATTTTTGAATCCAAGCGATTCGAAGCACGTAAACTAAGTTTAAAGTCTGAATACATTGAGGGCAATGCGAGTAATTCAAGACGTCGTTTCTGATTACTTAATGGGCAAAATTGTCGAGTGTTAAACAATTACGCAATCACAGTCTTGTACACCTAGAATGCGAAGTTGTGTCGATGGTAGTATAATTCGAACGATATGATTTCTTTTCTCGTAACGTGCAATTCAGTCCAGGTAACGACCGCATTGAGCTTTGACTTCCTAGTGAATTACTGCCGCTTTATTCAGCCGTTCATGACATTGTTTTTTTGCGAACGTGTAGAGAGGTTAAAGGTGTGGAACTTAATTTCTTATTTGCCTAAACTATGTACTTCCCGTTCGGATTCTACTTGGAATTTCACTAATGATAATGCGACTATGAGATCCTTGAATTATTTTGAATACTATAGTTTCTGAAATTGATACACTAATAACGAAAAATATTGAAAATGATTTATTCTCGATCACCGTTATTGAGTAGCAATGAAAAATATGCATTTATCTGAAACGTTGATAAACATGTTATTTTCTTTCTTTCATACTGTCACTATAAATTTCAGTTATAAGTGAATGAGTCAGCTCTGTTTGAACAGTATAAGAAAAAGGACATCGAAGACATTAAAAAATGATATTCCAATGGAATGTTCCGGGGAGTTGCAGAAAAACAACTTGTCGGGTGAAAAACAAATAAATCAAACGAATTTGCATTGCAACAAAACTGAGAAAATGCAAAGTGTTTAAGGAGTAATTACTTTTATAAGTCAATGTATCAAACGTTCGTTGGTATTCAACCGTATGAATTATTCGCACACGAAACGTGTGCTTGTGTTACTTAGCATTTTATCTTCTTTGTAGAATGATGATTTCAGTGTAGGAAGCAAAAAAGAAATAATAGTAGATATATATAATTACGTGTTTCGTCCCAACAATAACAACTTACGATATACGGCAGTTATATTTAGAACAGCGGGAGTAAATAAAATACATTTGTTTTTATTCGAACTCAGATTTCTCTCAGAAACTCAGAAAGATTTGAAAATAATGCTTCGGTATAGTTTTATTTAAATCAGTAGCTATAATAATTGTATGAAATCGAAGATGAATATCAGAAATACTGCAAGAAACTTCTTGAAGATTCTTAAAAATTTTAACGACACGTATCAATTTTCTTAAAAAATCATTCATATCGTGTAACATTTTTAACCCTTACACACTATCATCAAAAGAAAACACGTTAATGCTATCGCTGTTACATTTATAGCATAAGTATGCCAGCGAATTGATCTCTCCCGCGATAACGTTATCACCACTGATATTCCAAATAAATACACACGAAATTAGTGTTACCAAATGTCACGTTTTTCTTTCTTTTTTTTGGAAATAATATTAACTCTGCTATAGTCCTCGATTTAACTATAAACTTGATTAAGAACACGCATTACAGTCTATGTAATAACAATTCTCGAATTTAAAAGCATTCCTGGTAAAATGGGAACAAGGCAAAATCGAGAAAAAGTAAACAAACGAAATGATACTGCGTGAGTTTAATGTTAAGTTTGAAATAATAATTTTGGAAGGACAACATGAAAACGTAATTTGATCAAAGAACACTTGAAGAATATAGCAGAGTTAGACTAGCGAAATTTTATCCAATGGTAGCCACTAAGAATTAAATAGAGCACTGTTAGCTACCATGACGTAACGCTTGCATTGAAACTTTAGCTACAATGTTCCATCAGAACGGGCGTGGGCATTGTGTAGGTGCATTTTACGGGAATTAGTATGCCACGCTTTATAAATAACTCGGTGAATGTTCGGAAAGGTCGGAAAGAAGACTGCATTCTGCGAGATTCTGCATAATCGCGTCTGGCACGTGTATTTTGTACCTTTTTCTTCTTTTAATTTCGTTGTCTGTTTCGAAACGCGGGGGTGTCTCGAATATAATCTGTCGTTGATGACACTTGCGACGCTATTTTGGTACTTGCGAGGATATTCAGCTTACGAGACGTGAAACCAGTGATGAATCATTGTTCCCTAACACGACTTATTGATTTATTTATACAATAATCTTCTAAATAAGATATATATTTTGGTAAAAATGTCAATAAAATTTTCGTTTTCTTTTTTGTATATTTATTTATTTATAATTTATTGGTGCCGTGAGTTATTCTAGCTTGCTGGCTTTTTAAGTGAGTAAAAGATCGGTTTCTTGTAATGGGGATATTTTGATTTGATGTGATTCATGGTTTTCTGCTGATTAATCAGTCGCTGGTTTTATGAATAATGTGCGTATTGGAGTTATTAATAAAAATATTGTATAATTTGGTGACTCAAAATTTGACGTTATTTGAATATTGAGATATTATTAACTGTAAATAGCTTTAATGGAATAGCTTTCGGAAAGACATAACAGATTGAACGGAAATAGATTTTTAGTAAGATGAGAATGTGCGTAATTTTTTCGTGAAACACACAGTTACAATCTTATTTTTAGATGAAATATGTTTTCTGCGAATAAAATCTATATTGGAGACAACTGGAAATATTTACATTCCGTAAATATTTGCAAGCTTCATGGAGTGGAAATCGTTGAAATTTCACTGTTACTGAAAGCTATTCTATTTTTATTACAATTAAATGGCATATTTTTATTTTAAAAAATGTCAAATAAAAAATATTACTATTATTTCTTTTATTTTTGAGAACACTATCTGAAATCTCAGTTTTTCGATGAACAAGTATAATAGAAATATAAGAAGAAATAATTTATTTCTGTCTGAATACAGCCTTCTGAATTCATACAATGCTACTTAATATAATCTTACTTGCAAGATTCGTTGATAACTCTAGTCAAGTTATTATGTTTCTTATTGATATAATGCGCTATCACATTCAGCCAATCAAAATTCGCAGTATAGTAGAATCTTCTGTTCGTATGATCCTATATGTATAAATGGATAAAAAAAACAGGAGTCAAATGGACTATGCACATATTGATTAATAACACGATTTTGCAATGGGCAAATACATTTACTGTTCAACAGCAATGAAGGTTAACGATTAGACAGCGCGTTGGCTCCTGATAAAATGCACATTTAGCTGAAATGATTAAGCAATTGTTATATTTGTCTAATTTAACGTCATTTCACATTGGACTTCCATTGTGTGCGTACAAATTTGAGTGAAGCTTGTTTCGTGTGCGTATCTTATCTCATTACCAATGTGTTGCTTCCATATCTCTTAATAAAAATAACCAAAGGGGGCGTCAACGTGGCTGGCAAGTTGCAAATCAAATTTTCCATCGCCTATCGTCATGTACAATTCATTTTTGATCGTTCATCATACTACTTAGGACAAGAAAGTGTTACATTAAATTTCAAAAATAATCTGTACGTCTCAACACTGTGAGTCTTTATGAAAACTCCCATCTTGATAGCTAATTTTAAAGGCAATGTAACTAAGTAGACTTCGATTTTCTTCGTTAACAATTAGATCACAAGTATCTTAAATCCGTATTGTATTCTATTAAACTATATTTCATTGTTTCTTAAGAATGCATAAGTTGACTGCAGATATTGTTGCCTTTACACCCGAGTTCGCAAAGGAAATAAAGCTGAAATAAAACAAAAATTGGATTATCTTATGAAGACGTAACTCGAATACAGGAAACTCCAAAATCGTGTGACTACTTAAAAATCCTTAATTGATCAATAAGGATCCAAATATTTGTACTCCTTTAACGTTAGGTCTCTACTAAAATGTATCAATGCACAGTATAAATTGTTTACGTTCCACGTCACACGACTTCCTGCTAATGCCGCGTGCTAACTCCAAAACAGTATGGCGTCGTACGCAACGCCATGTCTCACGAGCGCGGCTCGTGATCGCGGAGCAACGGGTTTCCACGCAAATAAAGAAGCCATAAATTAGCGAGCATGGAAATTCGAATTAATACGCCAAATTGGGACTGTGGAGGGGTTAAGCGTGCAGAAATGTAAACAACGATGAGACGAACGCTCCTATAGGAATCACGTGGAATGGAATGCACCGGAGGAAAACAAACGCCAGTTATCTAGCAGGCTTCGAACGAACACGTTCGTTGATACCGCGGCTGCTCCGATAACAGCCTTTTCCATCGTGCGCTCTTCGAGGACGTATCCGTAATATAAATAGACGGAAAAATACACTTTTTCTTGTCTCCGCGATTATTCGCGTAAAAATCATTTGCGCTTCCATTGAAACTTCTCCAACGTTCTCAACTATGTACTAGCAGTGCTCTTTGAATTTAAAGGATCTGAATTGACCGAAACGGATTTGCGAAACGAAATATCGTAAGTGTACGTCCTTGATGATAAATTAACCCCTTGTCTTAGAATATCGTGTCAGACTCGCGGTGAGGATTTCAACTAAAATTTAACGAACATAAATATTATTCATTTTGTTTAAATGCAAATTACATATTATTCCTCTGTTATCAATGATTATACCTTAGAGCACACGTTGATACGGAATAAGACTGGAGTTTTCTCTTGTTTTCAATAAATCATTAATGACAAAGTAGTTAGATCGATTACAGTTCAGTAGGGAATCATAGGGCAAGGGGTTAAAAGGCAAATATCAATGTTCGAAGGAATGTAGGATATCGAAAATCAATGAAATCTTTCGAAATTGATGAAATTTTAATCACCTCGACAAAGTGATTTTAATTTCTTTTCTTCCTTTAATTGGGGGGTTTGAGATATGTAAATTTTCGAAGCATCGACGAGTAAACGTATTTTGTGTTTATCTTTTCGCGAGGATTGTTAGTGTTTAACTCGGTGATTGAATTTTTAATACTTTACCAAATCAGCGACTTCTGAAGTGTGTTTATACTTCCGTGAAAAATAAAATTGTTGTTTATTTATGTTATGAATTCAATGACGCTTACGATGATTAGAGAGGATATCGACGATACTGATGCAGTAGGCACGTGTCGAGCCGTGTGTTACAAATGCCACGATTACGTCGATGAAAATATTTGATTTTCAAGCTGTCTCGGGAATCAAAATAGTCAATATTGATCGTTTCAGTTTTGTCCTTTACGATCTCCGACAATTTTTCGTTTTAATATATTATCAAAATCAATCTCGAATTACCTTTTCATTAAGCTGCCGATTGCATGCTTTTTAATCAATCTAAATCCGAATTAATAGAAATGTAATTCGTAAACATGACATTTTTACGTTATTTTATAATAACGAGAATTCCATACAATCATAACATAAAATCCGCATTCTAAGTATAACTAACCGTATTAAACTATAAAACTAAAAATATTGAACTACAATAATTTTCTAATTTGTTTATTCCTATTATCTTCAACAACAATTCAATGTAAAAGTACCTGTTACGTACGCTTGGACTTGATATGATAAAAAATATGAAAATGATATAAAATTAATATAGCCTTGCGTCCTCGACGTGGACAAAAATCTAATTCCTAAGGGGGTGTACAAGCTTATAGATAAAAACAGCTGGTAGTGAGTCGATGCATTCCGCGCATGATTTGTCAGCTCGACTATTTTTAAGAAGCTTGATTTTTAGGGACCATTTAGCGACCAGCTGATGTGTGGTCTCGACAATTGCCGGCAATGGGCCTGCCGTCAATGAAACAATTAAGAGATTTCCCATTCGGGAATTTATATGTCTCAATAGTAACGTTACCATCACTTTGTCTTTACTTTCGACGAGTTTCAATTCGTGACCGTTCTACGTTCACTGAGTTGAATGTGTTAAGTCAGTTTAATAATTTCAAAAAGTCAATTTAACTGCTCGGTAGTTTTAATGTTAACATTGAACCCAGTGAACGCAGAACCGTCACGGATTGAAACTAGTCGCAATAAGTAAAAACAAAGCGATGGTAGCGTTAACTACAGCGATGATTCATTGCGTCCGTGAAACGCATCTGTCATTACAGATCAGATTAAGCTACACTCCAGAAAAATTTGCTGCGGATCGTTTGATAGTCGTTGGGAACGTTTTCGACTAGCGAATGAAGCTTAATATTCCGACTTAGCGTTTTTACGATAAAGAAACCGTGAAATTAACCCTTTACACTCGAGAGACGATTCTCAGTCGCCGTTTGATTCATCAGAGAAAAATTATAAAGTTTAAAATTCAATATTAGACTTTATATAAAGTATTAATATTTCGAACATACAAATAAAATAGCCCTCTTATTTTATGTAAGATTTTTCTTTATGTTGCAACTAAGATTATTGATATTTCATCGGAAAATAATGAACATTTGTAATCACAAATATTGTCGAGTACAAAGGGCTAATCTGGCGATTGATTTAGTTAACATAAACGAATGAGATGATGAAATAAACGTATTGAGTAATCGCGAAGTATATTTTCGTGGACGACAAATGAGGAATAATGCATGCGTTTTTTGCGCAGCCGGCGGCCTAATGGCGGGTTCCGTGGCTACTCTGACGATCCTCTGGATCTCCCTGCAAACTATGGGGTTCCTTGGGAATTCTCATTCCATTGGCGCCTATAAGTTGCCGATGACCTTGCAGAACTACCTCGCCAGTTATACAGGTAAGTGGGTCATTGTCACACCTTCTTTTTCACTAGTCTTTTTTTTTCTTAAAAAGCAAATAACCCGATTATGGTTGGCAACGTTTCAGACGATAAGTTTGAGTTCAGGCTACCGCTAATTGATTTCATTTTATTAACACGTTCACTGTCAAGCTATCGTTCATAAAATCAAAGTAACTTGTTTAATGAAATGGAAAACTGATAGTTAGAATTTTTGACATTCTTTGTTGTTGAATTGTTCGATCGCAACTGAATTTAGTTAAACGAATAAGGTACTGTAAAGGTTAACTTTCTTTTTTATAAGGAATTTTGTTGCTTGTGTGTAATTAGATGGCGGTCAACGTGTTAAAAGATCAGACTTAAATTTATGATATTTCTTTTCTTTAAACGAATACTTGATCCGCAATATTTGCTCTGACAATTTTGGCTCTGGATACTAATCATCTTTTATTTACATTGATCAATCACTGATCATGTTAAGTATTATTTGCAATTGATTTTCACTACTTTACATGAATATATATATATATATTTTTGAAGAATACATAGTTGAGAATTTGTATATTTTTAACGAAAAATTGACCGTTAATACGTTGCAATTTAACTTATGGAGTGTACAACAAATTTCTCATCTAGTTTGCAGTCTTTTTGTCTGGAACTTATTTTTCCACGTAGAAAATGTTAACTAAAAGCTGTAAACCTTTATTGTTATTGGCGTAATAATGATAAAGGTGAATAAACACGATAAGAAAACGGATACATAAAGCGCCAGATTTAATAGTTAAGCAGTCTGGATCGTAATGGATTAGAGATATTGTTACTCTGCACATGACGAAGTTTAATAATTTGTTAACTCAGCTATAAAGATAAAGAGAATTTGTAAAAGCCGTTTAATAACTAGAACTCAAAGTATTTTAAGTATATCAGCATTCTTGATTAAACAACTTGTTCAGTGGAGTACTTATATTTACACTCAAGTGAAAAATACGTACTCCATCTTTTTAAACTGTTCAATACACGGTAACTATAAAAATGAAACGTGTGTGCTATTATTTTTCTCATTAATGATGTATATATTATAACGTGTTCACATCAATAACAATGGCCAAAAAAAGTTTAAAAATGGCATCTATATTTCTATTTAAAAAATGCTTTATTACTTCTATCAGATTTATAAAAATTAAATGTTTAGATATTTTCAGGTCAATATTTCTGGATTACTTCAAGATAATTCACACAAATTATAATTTTTAAAATTAGAAATCTACACAATAACGATTGAAATAACATAGAAAACACGTTATTGCCAATTTATTACGCTTTTCTATTGTAAAACACTACGATAAAAGATATTAGCTTATTTTATAATAAACACCAGACTAGCTTTCCATTAAACTCCTTTACCCGTCTTTTTTCAAAAATGTTAACTTCACACGAAACAATGCCAATAACTCGAACATCCTTTAAACTTCTTTTGGACCGATACAAATATATTCGATATAATCAACTAGTACTTGTTTTACATGTGTTTAAATCAACCCTTAGCAATCACATGACACATAAAGGGTGCTTTCCAGGTGGAAACATTGTCAAAGCATGAATAGAATACCTTGAGCATATATAAACACGGGTCAATTTCATTGATTAGCTAAACGAAAATGTCCGAGATAATGGATGGCAAGAACAAGCAGACGTAACAAACGCACGCTCTGCCCTCTCTGTTTTCCTCTATCTCTGCGATGTTTCGAGCATTACTCAAAATTCCTCCGACCGACGCGACACGACCCGTGCGATTCACCGGATGCATTTTACCGACGTTTTTAAAGGTATCCTTTCAGGTTTGCCGATGTCGAACTACCCTTATGAGGTCGTCGTAGACACCGGTCATTTCCAAAATCGACGTTACCCTCACATTGACAAGGCAGTCTTGAACAACTCGATCAGTTTCGCGCAAAACTCGGTCGATCGTATGAGCACCCTCGAAAGGAATATCGTGAACGCTGGCGTCGAATTGCAGGCACACACGCCGGCGGAAAAGCAATTCCTTGATTCTTATCCTTCCGAGGATGCTTTTGAGAGAGGCCTCGACGCCATTGTGGCGATGAAAGCTTCGTCCTATCTCCTTCACCAGAGCTGTCGCAGGTAATACGCCACTCAGGCCAGAAGGTACAATTCTCGTTGTCCTAATAATGGACCATAGGCGGTCTTCCTACTTTAGGGAATTCGGTAAATCGAATCTGTTCGCGTTGTTTAAATATGCATACCTTGTAGAACACGTTCGCGGAACTATATGTTCGAATGTTCGTCGATTTGACGAGGGTTCGAGTGTCGTGCAAAAGAGCACGAAACTAGCTTCATCCCTTCAGTTTTATTCAAAGTACAAGTTAAAATTGTTTCGAATGTTTCGAACGTTGCTATTTTGATGATTTTGATGTTTTCTTTTGTTGGTTCATTAGAAGCAGGTGAGAATCTTTAAGGGATTCGTAGATATCAGCATTTACCTTCGAGTGATTGGTTTCATTATGTATTTCCTTGGGAGATGGTAGTGCTTGCCGTGTATCACATCTTTGTAACAAAGTTTGGAAAACTTGATTCAGGATAAATAAATAAGAAAATATTGGTAAATATTTCGGCAGAGTTCTGAGTCTAACCCAAAACTCGCATCCAGCCTAACCCAAAACGCGTCTACCCCAAGCGAGGACATTCTTAGCCAATCTACTCGATACCATATCGCAAAGCAAACAAAAGAAAGAAAGAAATATACAAAGTGATAATTATCCTTGCAGGTTCGGTTTGGAGAAGGATGATTGCGCGCGGTTCATATCCACGCTGCCGCTGCAGGGTACGCAGTTGAGCTCCGCCTGTTCCTCGTCGCAGGCTGGTGTCTGCAATTCCAAGGCGAAGTACCGGAGCATCGACGGCAGTTGCAATAACGTGAAAAACCCGAGCTGGGGTAGTGCGATGACCGCGTACACCAGAATCCTCTTCCCCCAGTATTTTGACGGTAAGGATTCAGCCTGCCGCGTGATCGTCACCAAAGCCAAAAGGCAAAAAAGATGATGACATTTCACCCTGGCCCCGTGTTCCGTGAACCCGCGTTGTTCATCCGGTACTCGTCCATTTAGACCGTTTCTCCCCGGGCACGCTACGTATGTGACAAAAAAGAAGAAGAAACTTTTCGAATGAATCGCGAAGTCGGGTTCACTCGTGACGGCTGCAATTATCCCGCGACCACGGCTAACAACCGGCTACCCTCGGTTTCGAATTGACGGAAGCGTGGAAAAGAACTCGAGATGTACTCAACCTAACCGCGCACCGTGCTACCGTTATTTGTGTGGAATAATAATCGTTACAATTATTTGCAGCCTTTGAGCAACACTTTGGCGCTTCCCTTTCTCCTCTTTCCCTCGTCTTCTTCCATCCTGGTTCTTCTGTTATCTCGCACTGGGTCTTCTTCTACTTTTCTGTCTTTCTTCCTCGCGCATCGTGATTCCGCTTTCATCAAGGACACGGTTATCGCGTGGTTACGTGAATCTGATCGCAACTTGAGGGCTTCCTTGTCGATGTTGCGAAATCCTGGAAACATCTGAAGTTCCTAGATGATTTTCTGATTAGTCTCAGTGATCATATTCTGATGGAGACCATCAAATATTTTATCTGATTGTACGGCTTGAAAATGTGCTCTACTAATGAAAGCGTGCAATTGACGCGACGTGTGTTATCTGTCAAGCTAGAAAACAAAAATAGGGGTATCAAATGATTGACTCTAGGTGAACAATAATATATATTATACTTATTGAAATGAAATAAGTAACGTCACATACCTCAGAGTTCCTTGCATCAAGGAAGTCAAAAATCGTAGAGCTGCTGTTGCCACTTTGTTACTGACCGCTGGTCAATAGTCTAAATTTATATTAGGTGTACTTTGGATACACGTTGCTTGATTGTAAATATATCATTTGGATTTTATACTGCCTTCTTGATGGGATTTTGAGGGTCTGGGACTGTGACTTTAGCTGAGACTCTGACACGTGTGCAAGGTATCCTGGAAATATGGCTTGATGATTTCTTATTGACTAAAGAACTATGTTAAGTTTATATTTCGTGGATATGAACTCCTTTTCTTTGATCGTTCGTCGTTGGGAATTGAGAGAGATTAATTTTCTATCTTCAGTAGATTCTTATGTCTGTTTCACACTAGTCTCTATCAGTGTTACTTTCTCGATTAAAAATTTTGAAGAGTTGTACCCAGCTTTCGTCGTTCTCAAAATCACTTTCGAAGATAATTTTATAAAGTCCATTTGAAATACTCTTTTGGAGTACTTTCAGTGGGATTCGCTTTTTAAAAATATATTTTAACGTGTATACATGTTGCAGAGCTTATCTGTTAAGGATATGACAATAACCGTCGTGCAAAGTATTCTTAGAGTACATACTTCTTTACTCAACCGAAGGTTGAATGAATTTACATAACAGATTACAGAGTACTTATCTTGCTGTAAGTTCTGTCGAGATAGACGAGTAAAAATAGCTTTCGAGAGACTATTGTTTAACGGCAATTCTGACGTGTGAAGCATATTTTTGCATGTATATACTTAATGTCCAGTCCTCTAAGAAAATTGTCTCTATCAAAGTATTTAACCCGTTAATAGTTTGCTTTTAATTCAACTGAAATTTCTACGAGCATCATCGTAAGAAGATTGCAGTATTCAAGGACACCTTGTACATTTCACTCGAATCACTTTACGTAACTCTCGGCATGCCAGAAACATGAATTTTCAAGTACTTCGAGGATCATTCTCCTTTGCTCTCGTCTTGGAAAAGTATCTCTATGTAATTCGCTCAGCCATTCAATTGTTATTCTGATTCTCTTCGTAGACTCCTTCTCGTCGGCCATTCTCATTGTTAAATCTCTAGAGGTTCAGTTACTACAGAGATTCTGCCGTTTCCACGATCGCAACTCGAAACCGTTTCTATGTGCGCTTGCACGCGAGCTACAAACCTCGACCTACTAACCCACCTAATCCGCTCACATCTCGATACCTTTGAAAGCAT